CCACCATTTGTAATGGTGAACTCATGCATGGACTACGTCAAGCTGAGAAAGAGCTCAATATGCACACTAACGTGGGCAGCAGAGTTCTTGATGAAGAAGGGTTTCTAGGAAGATTTCCGCCTCCAGTATATTATGATGAAGACGGAATTGCCAATGTACTTGCTATGCGTGAGATGACTGCTGCGGGATACCGCATTACCATGGATACTGATTTTGACAATGCCTTTGTTGTGCATTGCAATGGAGACAGACAGATGCGATTTGTGAATCGTAAGGGTGTATATGTGTTGGAACAACTTGGAGTGGATGTCGAACCAGGTGCCAAAGAGACAAGTGCAATGTATCGTTGCCAGTTAAGCAACGTAAATAAACAACCCCATTTCGAACTTTCTTCAAAACAGAATGGATATGCTGGACTCGGGATGACTGTGAAGATGGCAACGGTTCGAAAGAACAAAGAAGGATTCACTCCAAGACAAGTCAAAGCTGCGATGGAAGCAAGAAGTGCAATGCACATACCCAATGCTCCAAGCACCAAAAGTCTGAAGTATGCAATCCGATCTGGTCTCATCAAGAACTGTCCTATCACTGAAGAAGCGATCAATCATGCCGAAGCAATCTTTGGACCTGACGCATCTACATTGAAAGGCAAGTCAACAAGACCAACTCCGAAGAAGACGTATCACGACTTCTTCAGTCCACCAGAGGAATTGTATCAACATAATCGATCTATTACCGTCTGTATTGATCACATGGAGATCGAGCATGCTAAGTTTCTCACCTGCATTGATACCACTGTGCGTTATCGCTCATGTATTCCCGTGCAGAACCTGAAGTCTGACCCTGTATTTGACGCATTGGATAAGATATTCCGCCGCTACAACAAGGCAGAATTTCAAGTCAAGACGATCAATGTGATCGGGCATTCATTCCTCTGACGGATGATATGCTAGACAATATGGGTGTTACTATTGACCCGACTGCAGCTGGAGATCACGAGCCTACAGCTGAGCGAAACAATCGAACGCTGAAAGAAAGAGTCAGAGTAGCTCTTGCAGGATTACCCTACAAAGTTGTACCAAAAGTGATCACTGAATGTCTTGGACGTCGAGCCGCCGAACTATTGAATGTCTTTCCCCAGAAAGACAGTATTTCCTCACATTTCAGTCCGCAGCAACTCATTGATAATGTCAATATCAACTACAAGAGTGACATGGTTGCTGAGCTTGGACAGTATGTTCATGCAA